GATATTCCTAGGCGGGCCTCCCTTGAGATAGGGTACTGTCGCTGGCGGCACGGTTTAGCCCCCGGCTTGAGTTCAATTATTACTGGGACCTGGTTTCTGGCTAGTCCAGGGGGATTGTCCTCGGCCCAGACCGTGGGGAATTCCTGCAGCAGGTTGTCTCTAGCCTCGGGCCTGGGGCCATGGTCACCAGATTCCCCAGAATACAACTGGTATTCTTCCTCTCATGGCAAAATGAGGGCCATGAGCCTAGGGCCATCCACTTGCAGCGAGGCCTCCCCTGACTGCTGGAAGGTGATTCGAGCTCCCAGCTTTGATAAGAGGTCTCGCCCTAACAGTGGGACAGGGCATTCAGGTAGGTATAAGAACTCATGTCTAATCCGGTGGCCTCCCAGATCAACAATCCAGGCCTGGCAGAAGCGTTTTGGGCTACTTGGCTGACCAGTGGCCCCTACGATGGTGACTTCTCGTCTGGATGGGGGAGCTACAGGGGTGGTGACGACCGAGTGCTCTGCCCCAGTATCTACCAAGAAAGAGAGAGTCTGGCCCCCAACAATCGCTTCGACCATGGGCTCATGGGGGCCTAGATTCAGGGAGCCCGGTCTTCCTCATTCTGAGTCTAGGCCCACCAGACTAAGGATGGTGGGCGCCGGCTCAGAGGGCGCCGGACCAGCCTTCTTTTTCCGGTGCGGGCATTCTCTTTTCCAATGTCCTCTTTCCTTACAATAGGCACATTGGTCTCTCTCTACCTTGGCGTGCCCTTTCTGGTCTTTCGGTCCCCCTTTGCCTTTTTCTGCCGGCTGACTGAGGCGGCTGCTAGCAGTGCGGCCTTTTTCTCTAATCTTTTCTGGGCTGCCTTCTCAGCGGCCTCCTCCCGGTTATTGTAGACTTTATTTGCTACCTCAACCAGCTGACTGATGTTCATGCCTGCAAAGCCCTCTAGTTTCTGGAGCTTTTTGCGGATGTCAGGGGCCGACTGGGAGACAAAAGCAGTGTTTACCATTAGCCGTGTATCTGGGCTTTCTGGGTTGAAGGGGATGTATATCCGGTAGGCCTCTAGGAGCCTTTCTAAGAAGTCCCCGGGACATTCATCTGGCCGTTGGACAACACTGGCCACCTTTGACATATTGGTCGGTTTTCTGGCCCCAGCTCTGACCCCCTGGAGGATGGCTTCCCTGTACCGGTCCAGGGCTGCTCTTCCCTGTTCGGTGTTGTGATCCCAGTCGGGTTGGGTCTCTGGGGCTGCCACCCGAGCGTACTGGGCTGGGTCTATTGTGCCCACTGGAGCATTGGCTTCTAGATATCTCTGGGCCTCCTGGAAGACTCTGCGCCTCTCTTCCGTATTAAAAAGGGTTAGGAGCAATTGGCGGCAATCGTGCCACGTTGGCCGGTGAGTTTGCATAATGGACTCCATTAGGTCTACGAGTGCCTGGGGCTTCTCCGAATATGAGGGTGTGTGGTGTTTCCAGTTCAAGAGGTCAGTCGTGGTAAAGGGCTGATAGTAAAACACGACCGGTCCCGGGTATAAGGTCCCATCAGGCCCCGTTTGTGGCGGGCCCTGGGTCTCCCGCAGTGGCATCTGGAGGGACTGGTGGTGTCTTAAGCGGGAGGCGATAGGAGATTCTGGGGGCGCTGTTGCCTCGGGTTGCGGGGGCGAGACTGAAGGGGGCGGTGTTTCAGGCGCCTCTGCCTGACCTCCCAAGTTCCTAGCTGGGTAAGGGGGAGGCTGCACCTGGGGGTCTTCCTCTGGCGGGCCCTGATAGATAGGGGGTCTCTCCACTGGTTTGGCAACTAGGATGCAAGTTACATCCCTTTTCTTTGATCGGGAGCAACAGTTCTGGGCTCCCCTGGCTCGCCCTCCCGTAGCGCCTAGGTGACGAGGTTTAACCCCCGCACACTTCCGGAGCCAGTCGGGCATCTCTTGCGCTAGCTCCTGCCACTTTTCTATGTAGAGGAATTGGTTTGGGTGTCCTGGACTTCCTGTGACTATGAGATGGACAGCCCTAATTATGTCTAGGTCAAGGGTTCCCTCAGGAGGCCAGCCTACCCCGAACCTGGGCCACTCAGCGTAACAGAAAATTTCTAATTGCCCCGGATCCATATCGGGCTGCTGGCCCCGGAACCGGTCGAAATTTCTTAACATGCAATCTAAGACAGTAGACTGTCTGCCCCCCCATGATCCCTCCCGAAACGGCGCAGACAAACAGGGGCAGCAAGGATACTTTCACTTTCGCCCGCCTGGCCTCTCCTCTCGCGAGGGACTTGGGTCTGTCTTAGCTAAGGCTGCCCGAGTAGAGTCCGGGTTAGCTTCCCAGCCGTTATGCCATATGACAGACCGAGGACCCGCAGGTTAGGGCTCACTCAGACTCCGTAGGCTCGGGGGGAACACCGCTGGCCTGTGGAGCCACACAGTCAGTCACTCACTCAATCACACAGAGGTTAACACTTTCCCTCCCGACAGGGAAACCGTGCCAGAGGCCGGTAGGCCTGAGAGGTGATCAGCCTCTCCTTCGACCACTTATAGGTGGGTCTGATTTGGGTCTGGTCCCCGGGGCACTTACCAATCTGGCGCCTTCAGGTAGGCTTGGGTCCGCTCCCCAAGTGCCCGGGTTATGGAACGGCCCGAGGTCGGGGCCAAGGGGAGCCCAGCCCCTCAGGACCCGAAATCACCGGGGCACGTGCTTCCCTCTGGAGTCCGGGCTCACCCGGCCGACCCCAGCCGTCTTCACCGGAGGCAAACGGCCTGCTCGTGTGAGTCGTGTCCCGGTCAGGGAACCAAATGTTACGGAAAGCCAGACTCAAGACACGATTCAGGGAACGGAGTAAGCCTTTATTCACACGCGCGGGCTCAGAGGAGGCAGTCTCCAAATTCTGAGCCCCGAATCGGGGTTAGATAGGGGTTTATAAGCCCTAGCATTCCGGGCAGGAAACGGATGGGCTTCCCAGGTGGGGGAAGGGATTAGCATTCAGGTGGGAGATTGATGAGATTGATGTGCTACCCAGGCGGGGGAAGGGATGTGAAAACGGGCTACAGAAGCAGATAAGCAATGATTAACAGTTAACCTGGGAGGGGGTCTCTGGCTAGACTGCTCCTCCCAAGTCATCTTGCCCTTATCACTCCCACTGTAGCACTGAGTCACTGTCTGGCTTTCTGTACATGCCACCTCTCCAAAAATTCAAGAGACTCTCACAGTCACAGCTGGTCGCAGCCAGTCTCCTCCACCAGACCCAGGTGCAGAGAGAATCTCCCTCTCTCTCTGGCTGGCATTGCAGCTGCAGACATGGGCATGCTGCTTGCTGTGTGTGTGTGTGCAGCCTGGATCTCCCTGACTTTGTGTATGTAAGTTGTTCCCATCCTGGGTCTGGGGATTCACTGCCCTGGAAGGGGAGGGAGCCACAATACTGCGATCTCTGAATAGGTTCTCCAAAATGCAGGCTCTGGCTGCATAAACTGCAGCTGCTGGCACCTTGCCTGGGGAATTTCCCCTTCCAGCTATATAATCTCCTTACCACCCACTGTGAAGCATTTTCTGTACCCCTTGACTTCCAAACTTCATATCACTGAAGTTTCCATTGATTGTTCAGTTTATTTTTCAGAAGATCAGCCAAGTGTCCAAGAGGGGTGCAAGAGCAAGTGGACTGGGCTTCTGCCTACTTGGTTACCATCTTCCAAATCCCTCCCATTGTATATTCCTGTCATAATGAATTTTGGGCATTTAGTTTGGTTCCAAGTTTTTTTTCCTTCAAACTAAGTTTAGGTGAAATGTCCCTGTTCGGGTGCCATCTGTTGGGGGGAGCACTGCGCGGGACGCTCCTGGATCTGAGGGTTACTGTCTGGAGCCAGCTGAGGAGGGAGCGGGGCTCTGAATTCCACAGAGCCCGTCCTGGGGTTGTCACAGATCGGGGGAATAAACATGAGTCATTGCAAACACTTCTCTGTTTGCCAGGAGAGGGGACATGGCTCTTCCCTCTAGGGGAGAAGGCCCCAAGCCCCTGAGTCCAAAGGCTTTTATTGAGAACCATTTGTTCAGGGATCTACAGCAAAGCTCATCAATCAATGTCAAAAGACTATGTTTACAGAAAACAAATAGAGATCATAGATAGCAAATGAAGGAATGCAAGAGATCTGCCTCAGGTCAGGGTCTATGAATAATTTAAATCTCCTTCCCAGTATGAGCTGGTTATCATCCCTTTGAGGGAAGAACAAAGAATACTTAGAGGAACTTGCTTCTAGGCCTGATTGTCCCCAGGAACTGCCTGATCCAGTTTAGGGCTGTACCTGCCTTTAGTATTAGTTTAAGCCTAAGCCAGGCAGGCAGGGAAGAACCACCAAGAGATAAAGAGACTTCTTTCAGATAGAATGAAGACTCCAACCATGTCCCAGCTGAGCCAAGGGGTGCAGGCCTTTTTGCCCTTTCTCCATGTCCCCCAAGTCTTTGTCCCACTGGCCATACCAGCTGATGTCTGGCTTAGGTTGTCCCTGCTCTGGAGAGAACTTACTCGTCATCAACAACCGACCATCATAGGGCCAAACTGGGTGATGTGAGGGGGGCAGGGACTGTGTCCTTGCCAAGGGGACAGATTTTGTCTCATCAGTGGCCTATTTTCCCAAGGCTTCCTTCCAGCCTTGGGGCCCTCTCTCTTGTCAGCAAAGCTACAGTGCCTGGAACCAGATGGGGCGTTTCCCAGCAGTGGAAAGTTTGTATCTTTGTCTTTTGAGACTTATTGTTGCCAATTTCCAAATTGCCCTCTTGGAAATGTGTTCAAATTTATACTCTCCTCACAGTGTTTAAGTATTCCCCATCATCCTTGCTACCTCTGGATTTTTTTTTTTAATTCTACTAATGGTCTTTCGTTCAGTGAACATTGACAGTTGTGATGGTGATAAAGTTACTTTTTATGAAAGTTGCCTGAATAAATTCCACTTGACCATTCAGAAACTTTAGATGTTTTCCATATTTCTGGAGTCTAATTAACTTCCCCTTCCCTTCCATGTTTTTCAGTTACGACAGTGGCCTGACTCATATACAAAGAAGTTTGAGCACAGAATCTACCCCATCACATTTTCAGTGGGAAACCCTCAAGAATGGAAGAAATTGTTCAAACCCTGTGCTGCTCAGAGACTCTTTCTTCCGGTAGGAAAAGCTGCTTTTAATGAGATATTGCTTGGGAGAGAACTGCTCCTGGGAATGTGGTGACATTAAATGGAATCCATTTAGAAACATTGACATAGAGCTGAAAATGTGTTTCTCTAGGATTCTGTAGTCAATGCTCTTAATCTTCAGGGTTTAGAGAGTGTCCCTGTATTTGAAAAGTGGCCTTTCCCAAAGATTGAGCGACTGAGGACATCTAGAGCTTGTTTTGAATTATGGGTCTTTCTTACTACGGCACCATTTACTAGCTATGTACACCTCAGAAAACTTCCAATTTCTTTCTGTATACCTCAGTTCCTCCATCAGCTTGGCAAAAAGGTGACCCTCTGTAAATATTATCTTTGATTATTATTATTTCTCTTATAACAATAACTACTACTAGGTGTAGCTATTACCAGGGAGAGACCCAAGTCAAGGACACTCCCCAAGTTCGTTCCTCAGTTCCTGCTTCACTCACAAGAGATGAATTCAAGCAAGAGACAAGCATGTATAGTGGGAATGAGATAGCAAGTTTATTTATGAAATATACAGAGGAAATAAGGTAGTAAGTTTGTCAGTAAGTTTAGTCTATACACTTGAGCTGGGGCTACAAGTGGGTACTCAGCTAATATGAGTGCAATGACTGTTGGGGTTCAAAGGTAATATAATTTAGTTGGCTTCTAGGTTCTCCCTCCCCCTTTCCCTCTCTAGATCTTAGAATTAATAAACAGTCACAAAGGCTTTCTTTCTCAGCGAGTGGAGATGATACACAAAGACTTATAAGGCTCCCTCTTTCTTTGCTATTACAGGTTTTCATTCATTTTTTTATTGTTCAAATATATTTGCCTCCATTTTCCCACCACCGCTTTCTCCTGGCCTACCCACCTCTACCTCCCACCCACAATCCTTCCCCAATTTTTTTATTATTCCTATTTTTATTTTTTATCCTACTTTATTTTTCTTGTGGCTATAGCAAAGGGGATTTTTTCCCCTGACTTCTAATTCTAATATTTCATTATTGGTGTACAAAAATGTCTTCGATTTCTGAAATAGACTTTGTATCTCACTGTTTTGCCAAATTCTTTTTTTAGGTCAAGTAGTTTTTTGGTGGAGTCCATGGGGTATTCTATGTACACTATCATGTCACCTGCAAACAATGACAGTTTTACTTCCTCCTTTCAAATTTGGATGCTTTTTATTTCCCTTTCTTGTCTGATCGTTGTGGCTAGGACTTCCAGTACTGTGTTGAATTGAAGTGGTGAAAGAGGACAACCTTGTCTTCTTTCCGATCTTAGTGGTGTTACGGAAAGCCAGACTCAGGACACTATTCAGGGAACAGAGTAAGCCTTTATTCACACACGCGGGCTCAGAGGAGGCAGTCTCCAAATTCTGAGCCCCGAATCGGGGTTAGATAGGGGTTTATAAGCCCTAGCATTCCGGCGGGAAACGGATGGGCGGAAGGGATTAGCATTCAGGTGGGAGATTGATGTGCTATCCAAGCGGGGGAAAGGATGTGAAAACGGGCTACAGAAGCAGATAAGCAATGATTAACAGTTAACCTGGGAGGGGGTCTCTGGCTAGACTGCTCCTCCCAAGTCATCTTGCCCTTATCATTCCCCTCTTTGATGCTAGACGAGATTGGCCTGAGTCTTAGCATCATCACACAAGCCACGGTGGTCACTCTGTTGGGGTTGGGTCGGGAGTCTTTGGTATCGGTGATGCTGGAGGAGCAGCACTGGAGCAGCGGCTCGTCTGGTGACCGCGGTCTCTAGGTTATTAATGAGGGTGCGCAGCAGCCAGGGTCCTAGACTTATTCCTAAGAGGAGTAATATCAGGGGGCCTAGGAATGGAGCCAGCCAGCGGAGCCAGATTTGGGTATCTAAGCTCCATGTCCCTTGCCCTGACTCTCGGTAGCGCTTCGCACCATCTTTCAGCTCCTTAACCTTCTGGGTTAAGATTCCAGCCTAGGAATAGGCAAGTCCCCCCTTTTTCTGCTGTGAGGAGATCTAGGGCTCGCCTCTTCTGCAGGGATCATGCCTTGGTTGCCGACTAAGATGGTTGGTCACTACTCTGGGGTGGGATCAGGTCTCTGGTTCCTCGGGTAGACGGCCCAGTGTCCTTCAGTTCTCTTCAGCCGGACTGTGGGGGCTCCCTTCGAGGTGGAGGTTCGGTGGCTCCGAAGTCCTGGCTCGTCTGGATCTGCTGCTGCCTTGGCCCGAGTGTAGTGGATCCAGGGGGTTATTCCTGTAACTTTAAGGGCAGTAGGGGTGGTTAATAGTACTAGATATGGGCCCGTCCAAATGGGTTGGAGTGGTTCCTTTTTCCAATCCTTTACCCATACATACTGGCCTGGACGGAAGGGGTGTGCTGGCCTCCCTCGGGGTTTGGGTTCCTGGCCCAATTGGGCCCCGTAGATCCTGTCTAGGGTCTTACCCAACTGTTGTAAGTACTGGGTCTGCTGTAACGCCCCCTTCTGTCGAAGGTCATTGGGACTTCCTATTCTAGTTATAGGTGGGGGTCTTCCAAAAACTAACTCATAGGGAGTATACCCCGAGGGGTTCGGGGCATTCCTAACCCGTAGCAGGGCTAGTGGTAACAGGTCTGTCCATGGCAGGCTGGTTTCTTGATGGAACTTAGCTAGGGTTTCCTTGAGAGTTCGGTTCATTCGTTCCACTTTACCAGAGCTTTGGGGCCGATAGGCCGTGTGTAGCTTCCAGTCGATGCGCAGGAGCCGGGCGACCTCCTGAACCACCTGGGCGATGAACGCCGGGCCATTGTCACTACCAATGGTGAGTGGGAGCCCTTATCTGGGTATAATTTCCCTGAGTAGGATTCGGGTTACTTCCCGAGCTTTCTCTGTTTTGGTGGGGAAGGCTTCTACCCAACCCGAAAAGGTGCAGATCAGGACCAGGAGATACTTAAATCCTCGGCTGGTCTTGACTTCTGTAAAGTCAATCTGGAGGTCCTTGAAGGGCTGGGACCCCTTGTGTTGGACTCCCGGTGGGGCTCCTTGATGCGGGGCTGCATTGTTCCTTGCGCAGGTAACGCATTGAGCCAAGGCTGTTGAGCACAGGGTTGACAGGTTGGGGAAGTAGAAATACCTTTTGAGCAAGTTTTCCAGGGAGGTCTTACCCAGGTGGGTCAGATGGTGGCAGTTTCTGACTAAATTGCTGGCCTGGCTCTGGGGCACATATACGCGCCCATCAGGTAACCTCCAAGTTCCCTCGGGGGTTTCTTGTCCTCCGGCCTGTTGGGCCCATTTCATTTCTGCTGGCTCATAGTCCCGACGGTTAATGGGGTTCCCCAGCAGGGGTCCGAGAAGGGAGGGCTGTACTTCTGCCATCTCACCACATACTGCGGCAGCCTTTGCTATCGAGTCCGCCTTCTGGTTCCCGCGGGCCGGTATGGTGTCTTGTTTGGAATGGCCTTTGCAGTGGATGACGGACACCGCAGTTGGGGCCCACACTGCTTCGAGGAGACGCAGGATTTCTGTCTTGTTTTTAATTTCCTTTCCTTCTGCTGTCAGCAGCCCGCGTTCTCGGTAGATGGCCCCGTGGAAGTGCAGGGTGGCGTAGGCGTACTTGGAGTCAGTGTAGATATTGACTTTCCGGTCCCGGGCCAACTCCAGTGCTCTTATTAAGGCCCAGAGTTCCGCTCTCTGGGCCGACCATCCAGAGGGCAAGGCTTTGGCTTCTACCACCTGGTCAAGCGTGGTTACTGCGTACCCTGCCACTCGGACCCCTTCTCTCATATAACTGCTGCCATCTGTGAAATAGGTCACGTCAGCATTGGGCAGAGGCTGGTCCCGCAGGTCCGGTGGGCTGGCATAGACCTCCTCAGTAACCTCTAGGCAGCAGTGGTCTGGGTCCCCTAGTTCGGTCGGCAGGAAGGTTGCAGGGTTTAATCTTTTTACAGTCTTTACCTGGACCCGAGGATTCTCTTGGAGTATGCCCTGATATTGTGTCAGTCTGGGGTTGGACAGCCATCGGTGCCCCTGTCCTGCCAGGAGGCTATGGATGCTATGGGGAACGAATAGAGTGGTCTCCTGCCCCAAAGTTAATTTGTCCGCTTCTTGTAGCAGGGATACCGCGGCTGCAACTGCCCTCAAGCAAGGGGGCCACCCGGCCGCAACGTTATCCAGTTGCTTAGACAGGTAAGCCACCGGGCGCTCCCAAGGTCCGGCTGATTGAGTTAAGACCCCTAGAGCAACCTTGTCCTTCTCATGCACATGTAGATAGAAGGGCCGGCTGGGGTCTGGTAGGCCCAGAGCTGGGGCTTTACTAAGGAGGTCCTTTATTTGAGCAAAGGCCTGTTCCTGTTCTTTTCCCCATGCCAGGGGTAAGGTGTCTGGCCCACGCAGGGCCTGGTAGAGTGGCCTTGCTCTGGCTGCGAACCCCGGGATCCAAATTCTGCAAAAGCCGGCTGCTCCCAGGAACTCTCGTAATTGTCTTTGTCCGCTCGGGGCCGGGAAGCGGGTAATGACCATTTTCCGGTCTGTATTTAGGGATCTTTTGCCTTGGGAAATTAGGAACCCTAAATATTTGACTTCTTGTTGGCAGATTTGTGCCTTTTTCCGTGAGACTCGGTACCCTTGTTGGGTTAGCAGTTTTAGGAGAGCTCTTGTCCCCTCTAGGCATCGGCTCTGGTTGGGGGCAGCTAAGAGGAGGTCATCAACATATTGGAGTAGAGTTAAATCCTTTCCCTCGTCTGAGAAAGATTGCAGGTCCCGGGCTAGCGCTTCGTCGAATACGTGGGGGAGTTCTTAAATCCCTGTGGCAACCGGGTCCATGTCAACTGTGTCTTTACCGCCGTATGCGGGTCTTCCCATTCAAAGGCAAAGATAGGTTGGCTGGCTGGAGCTACCGGGATGCAGAAGAAGGCGTCCTTTAAGTCTAGGCATGTGTACCAGGCGGCGGTTGGCGGGAGTCGGCTCAGTAGGGTGTATGGGTTCGGGACTACCGGGTGCAGTGTGACGACGGCTTCGTTTACCACCCGGAGGTCCT